TTGGATGCCTCCTGGGTGCCTTCCTAGGGAGGTGTTCCAGGCATGTCCCACCGGGAGGAGGCCCCGGGGAAGACCCAGGACACGCTGGAGAGACTGTCTCTCAGCTGGCCTGGCAATGCCTCAGCATTCACCCGGAGGAGCTGGAGGAAGTGTCTGGAGAGAGGGAAGTCTGGGCATCTTTGCTTAGACTGCTGCCCCCGTGACCCGGTCCCGGATAAGCGGAGGAAAATGGATGGATGGATGGATAAAGGAGTGCCATGCTTGTGGTGTGCTGCACAAACAAATCCAGATGCAACAAAAGTATTTGTACCAAAGAGTGAAAAAGAATCCTATATAAAAACTTTTTCTACCAGGTATTATAACAGGAGTTGATACATACTGTAATAGCACCACCCCATAGTGATGGCATTTAGAAAGTCAAATGTCTCCAAAACAATACAAATTCTTAAGTTAAATCTACCTTTAATTTACTGTAATAACCTTGGTGACTTTTTCAAATCCAGTTTTATGATACATAACTTATACTCTATAACTGATTTATTTTTCATATAAGCCTAGGTGTATCTACTGTAGTATAATATACTGTATTTAAGGGTAATCAGTGTTTGTGCTAGACATATTGTGCATTTTGAGATTCATCATCTAATGTATCAATGAAGGTCCAAAATGAAGTTACCCATCCTTGGCAAGCTTCTGTCTGAAGACATCATTGGCAGCCAGCTTGATGGCTTTTTCTGGGGTAACAAGCGTGAGGTTAACAGCAGCACCTGGAAAAGACCAACAGGCTGACGGTGACACAAAACAGTCTCCACTAAAATACTTAAATAGACTAAATTTACACAGCAGCCTATGGCTCAGCACTGTGGGCTAATGGCAGTAGACCCTGGTTATTATGATAAAAAAACTGAAGGATCACAGGGTAAACAGCAGTGTGTGTGATCAGATTAAGTTTATAATGAAGCACAGTTGTAGCGTTGTTTGTCACAGGGATTAGAAATGCAAAAAAATACCTCTGTAGCATCCAAAGTAGCCCTCTGAGCGTATCGTCTTTGCCAGACAGTCCAGCCTTTAAATGCAAAGAAAAGAAAAAAACGTTTGGCCTTTTGTCTGTTTTTGGGACTGATTCCTAAAATACAATGTGCTTTAGTCTTTCACCATTAAGTCTGCTGTCATATGTTTAGGTTAGTAATACTTTCATTCATTGGTTACATCATCATCAGCCTGGCCGACACAATGATCCTCCAGCTTGTCCCAGCAACAAACTGGGAAGAGATGGGTGGTGTCAAAGAACTATGTTGTATTGAAATTCTCTTTTTTCTTTTCAAAGAGAAAAAGTCCTCATATGACTTATTTGTTGCCTTGAGGAGAATATTTTATTCAGGCTATTTCCCACTGTGACTCACAGTGGAAAACAGTCTGCTGAACACAGGATGGCCACACCCAGTCAGTAACAATACTGATGCCAACCAGATGTGCACAGTTAAAATAGTCAGGGTGAATAGTTCTTTTAAGGACACTGAATGTCTTTTTCTCTGCATCTCTTGATTTTGTTTCAGATTAAAACTTTGGCACAAACTAATCTTACTGAACTTAATGAATTCATTTGAACCAATGTTAAAATAAATCAGTAAAGCTACTCCATGATTCAAATTTACCATATCCAGTCCAGTCAAAACATCCAAACGCGCACTGTACATAGACAACCATTCCTTAAATATGATCCGATGGGGGAGTTTTGTACAGTCTCACCAAAACACTGGACCAAATATGGGAAGAGTGTCTTTGGCTGTGCTGCCTCCACCCACTGAGATTCAGTGGAAAAGCATGTGAGTTGTGGTAATCTAAAAAAATACTGTCTTGTATATAGTCAAAACTGGAGTGCTGCTAAACAGAGAGCACATGTAAAATCATTTATCACCAGAAGGATACTTTGACTTTTTTCTTCACATATTTTTATGCAGGGGAAAAGAAAAAAGAAAGATAAAGATTATTTTATAGCCTTTTGCTCATTAACAGCAATAATCAGAATTAGTTTTAAAGTATTTTGAAAGTATTGTTTAGTCATTTAAAAAAATGCAGTTATGTGATAGCCTTTGTATGTGGCAGATCGGTGACAGTGGCGGGTTAACTCAGGCCTTTGCAGCCCCACTCACATTCCTTTGTAGACTTGGACACCCTGCTGGTTCTGTAGGCGGGTCTTGGCAATACGCCCCCATTAATCAGCTTAGCGGGGAGGCTGCGAGGGGATCGACACAAACACACACAGACACATGCAGGCACAGACCCATTTGCAGTTACTGACACTAGCAAATGACAAATCCATTCATTTACAAAGATGCAAGATGAATTCCTTCAACCAAACACAAACACTCACAAAGACAATGTCAAAGACCAACAGTAACACAGTTGCTGCTTCTACTTGAATACATCTCCATAAAGCTAAAAAAAACCCAGGGTAAATTTAAAGATACTTACCTAACTTTCTTGTCTGCCATACTGCTTGTGTCTGGGCTCCAGGCCCAGGCTCACTCTTCCTCTCAACCTCCTCCTCTTCCCTTTCCTCTTCTCTTCTAAACTTTGGCACACAGCCCAAAGTTATAATCACAGCTCAACCCTCACTTGCCCATCCACACCAAAAATGCAGCCTACTGCTTCTGCAAGTGTGGCAGCAGTGGCCCACCTTCTCCTTCTAGTATGGCGGGGTGGACGTCCTTTTCACTGTTGCGGCCAAAACCACAAATGTTGGATCTATGTCTTCCGGCCAGCCTTTCTGCTTTGTTGTACCTCAAGCCAAAACCCAGAGTCTCTCCCACTGCCTGGAACAACAAACACATGCAGTTAATATGGATGAAATACCCTCTCAAAGCACCACTGATTAGACAATGTCAGTGTTGTGGTTTTATAAGAAGGAAGGAGGGTATGCTTATGAAGGAGTATTAACACACCTCACACTGAACATCAGGGTCTATAAAATCTAGGCTTACTCATTCATAAATGTGAATAGAGTCATATCCCAGGACAACCACACTGAGACATCTTGAGTCTATATAATTTGCCATCTGAAAAAGATATGTGCATCAGGAGGGCAAAACTGATGATGTGGGCCACTGTTCTTTTTATTGCATTTGGAATCTAGCATTTACAAAGGCCTGAAAAGGAGATCTGAAGTGCAATAGTTTGTAGTCTGGCCTAGGAAGTGTGGATTACATATAAAACTAAAGATGTTGAAACCTTATCACGTGTGCAGCTCTTGCATTCCTTTTCCCAATTTCATCCATTCTTTTTCTCCCTTTTCCCTTCTTGACTCCTCCCTTCCCTCAACTCCCCAATCAATCTTTCTCCTAATCTCTCCACCTCCATTTTGCCTCTATTTTTACCACTGTAAACCTTGCTCGTTTTATTTTCAGAAAGAATTGGGGGAAATAACTGGTTTTTACATTGTACACTGTTTCATCTTGGGCTGTATCTTTTGATGTCATTTCCCATCACTGCAACTTTTTCCATCTCTAAATATTTCTTTGAGTTGTGCCACTTTCTAAATGCTAGTGTCTTTTCCATTGCAAAATCTGGGCACATTCTACACATGATTTTTACTGATCCTTTTTCTGTGACACTTTCTTCCAACTCGGCTCCATTCACACAAAGTAACAACCATGCCAAAACCCAGACAAGGGTGCCTTACCCCGAGCCAGCCCCTGGCTCTCAGACCTCTGCTTCCACAAAACCTGCACTAGAACACCCTACTCACACTGTTCATACACCACAAGCCCCACAAGACAGCTTTCAAAAATCTTCATTTTCTTCCATCACAGAGACATAGCAATGGGGAATGGGGGTCTTACCTTTGCCAGTGCATCCACAGACAGGATTAAGTCGTCCACTATCCATATATTTTAACAATGCATACAGCTATGCATGGGGATCGCTCTCTCAAGCGAGAGGAATCTGAGAGTCCCAGCCACCTCTCAGGGACCTTTGCACAAACACCAGTATTGTCCTGCTGCCCAAGTCCCTCCCTCTTGTGGTGATTCCCTGTTTGACATGGCACCAGAAACACAGCTCTGTATTAACACAAATCGACATAAACTCATGCCTGTGGAGCACAGCAGACAGAGCAGAGACAAATGCCCGTAATTATAACTCAGTGTGTGGTGTCTCTAAGAATATACAACATGAGCATAAAAAACAAAACAAAAAAGGAGAGCTCAGTAATGAGCTCTCTTTTGTACAGTCCCAGTATTACATAATACCCCAGCACACTGTGAATACCACGAATATTCACAGACTTACAATTAAAACCAAGAAACGGAGACATTTAATTATAGGAAAGTATGTAAAGAGGTTAACTAAAGGACAAAAAAGTAAGGGAAGGACAATACCAATAGAGCATGTGATTACCACGGCAACCATTCATCTAAACTATTTTTTCCATGAGCATTGATTGATGCATTGACTCCTGTTAATGGAAAAACAATTACCATTTGTAATAACATTGTTCAGTAGCAGTGACAATCTCTGATTAAAGATGTTTTCTAACAACATTTAAAACATGTGGCTACACCAGACACTCCTAGGAAAGGAAATTGTCACTAATGAAAATAAAGAAACAGCTTGTGGCCACCATTCAATATAGTGCATTCACTTGGCTAAAAGACTGCTTGTCTTTGTTCCCAACCAAGAAGGTTTAGCAGCTAGCACAAAATGGTCTAGGCGTGTTTGGTTAAAGAAAAGGCACCTTTATTAGAATATAAAATGATGCAGTTATACTCAATACTTGGCAGGGGCTCCTTTTGCTTTAATTACTGCCTCAATTCGGCGTGGCATGGAGGTGATCAGTCTGTGGCACTGCTGAGGTGGTATGGAAGCCCAGGTTTCTGACAGTGGCCTTCAGCTCATCTGCATTTTTTGGTCTCTCATTTCTCATTTTCCTCTTGATAATACCCCATAGATTCTCTATGGTGTTCAGGTCTGGTGAGTTTGCCGGCCAGTCAAGCACACCAACACCATGGCCATTTAACCAACTTTTGGTGTTTTTGGCAGTGTGGGCAGTCACCAAATTCTGCTGGAAAATGAAATCAGCATCTCCAAAAAGCTGGTCAGCAGAAGGAAACATGAAGTGATCTAAAATGTTT